GGGGAGGAGGCGGCGGCGGAGGGGGAGAGGAAGAGAAAGTTGGTGATGGAAGAAAGAGGCGAAGAAGAGAAAGAAGAAACAAGAGAAGAGAAAGAAAGTTGTTGCAGAGCCTGAGGAACCCACTCGGGTGGTGTGGCACCCACTGGGCCACTGGGCCACTCACTAACACTATAGAATAAGTAGCCTGGAAATGCAATCCGTACAGTACAATCCCCTTCATCATTGGGCGCCGCCCAGCCCACTTTTTGCCCACCTTCGCTTCCCCAAAAATGTTCCAGACCCGGTTTGAGGATCTCGATCATTTTGTATCTTCTGATTCTGATTACTGACTGCAGAGGGAAGAGTATTTACTGTGTAGTGATTTGTTTTCACTAATGTTGTTTGTCATTCAACTTCACAAAGTAATTCGTCCATCCTTCCACATGGCGGTCAGTCTTAAAAAATGGTCGCCAGCCTTGATTCTACAAATCCCGTTGCTTCTTCCTGAGGTGGAAGACTGGTCGCCAAAACATCGCCCAACAAAACCTATACAAAGACATTCTCCTCCCGAATAATCCCCCAATCGCTGATAGCAAGACTTGCCTGCGGAAAACAAATACACCCACAAAAATTTACACCCATCCCTGAACGCCAAACATCCCTAGACTAAAATCTGCACCCATCGCATGTGTTTGGCACAAGAACCAACTAGATCTCCGGATGTGGGTTGCCATCTTCCGCCGGAGTGGCCAGGCGAGGGGTTCTCACCGTGGTGTCTACCACATTCGAATCGTAGGTCATTCCATCCACCATCCGAGCATCCTGGGTAGGCTCGGGGGTAACGGATCCAGTTGGGGACGCTGTGGCCAGCAGCATTGCTGTGTCGCCGCCCGAGTGCTGCGAAGCCACGGGATTGACGCGCACCAGCCCGGGGCTGCCGAAGGATCCTGGTCGGCCTCCTGAGGAGGTCCGATTCAGCATGGGGTTCGAGATGGGCCCACTGATAGTACTGGCGCCCTCTCCGAAAGCGACCAGACTGGCATCGCCCTCATCGCTGAAGTTGCCCACACTCGAGGTGCCGTCTTCCGGGTACTCACTCAACTTGTCCGCGTCGAAGGCATCACTGCCGCTGGCCCACGTCGTACGGGCGCCCACACTGCCCGTGGCACTGGCGCTGCCCACTGTACTGCGCTCTTTGATTCCCGATCCGCTTTCGAAAAAACCGGGGTGGTGAGGCGTGGGCACAGGGCCACTGAGCTGCGACGTACCACCCGCGCGGGCCGTGGCCACTCGTTCTAAACCGGCCAGGCGTGAAATACGATCGGCCCGTTCCGCTTCAAGCGTGCTGGTAGAGGTGGTGGATGCGGACGGAGAGTGATGCGCATGACGGCCGTAGGGGTGCGGCTGGCCTTGGTGACCGTCCTTGATGGCGGTGGTCGACAAGGCCGAAAGCGAAGTGGTGCCGGAGTTCGGAGTTCCTCTGTACAAGGATGTCGCAACTTTCATGTCAGTCTACAATTGAGGTGGAAGAGACAAAGAGCACGAAACAGTCAGGTGGTGGGTAATCTTACGGTCCCATCTCCGAGGGAGTCACTGGATCCGACGGCGGCGGGGGCAGGTTGATCAAAGTTGGGGTCGTCATTCTGTTCATCTTGAATGGATTATGAGCTGGGCCTCGAGACAGTAATGTGTTTAATGGCTTGCAAGCAGGATGGGAGCGGGGAAGCGGAAGGTCAAAAGAAGGACCCTGAAAACAGACAAGAGGATGAGTGGGGCACTGTAGCAGAGGGAGGAGTGTGGGAACAAGAAGAGGAAGAAGACGACAAAGACGAAGATCGAGGAGGATGGCGCATTCCAGGCCGGGTATTTAAGGTGTAATCTGCCTCTGTCTTCTGTCTCCTGGAAGGTTTCACAATTGTGGGAGCTTTCAGATGCTGGGCGGATTGGTAGATTGATAAGAATAGAACAATAGTATAGTTCGATGTAGAGTTCCTAGGTGTAAGAGTAGTTGGTGGTGAACGGAGGAGGGCGTAAGAGTGAGGCTGATGATGAGTGGGCCACCAGAGAGGAAGGAAGGGTTGCGATGAAGCGAAGCGGACGAAGTCGCCTCCTTTTATGTTTAGTTATCTGGGTCTTGGGAACTGGGTACTCCGTAAGTGAGCTCAAGTCTCCATCTTCCAAGTTGCTTGATCCACTGCCAGTCTGGGATTGTTTAGGGGGTTGGGGGGGGGGGGGAGAATGGGGAGAAGTTTATCCATGATCCATGATGGACCACAAGATTTCCCGTGCTGGAAATGGTCGCTGATTTGCCTCAGGCTCAGCGCTGCTGGAGTGACTGGAGTGCAACCACCCTTTCCCCATTTCGGTATGCCCATGATGTCATATACTCAGTGAAGCCAATGCCCAGTACTACGAGTACATTGTAATATACTAAAGGTGATGGTGGGGTGTTCTCTATCGCTGCCTCAGGCTTTCGAATTGAACTGACCTTCAGTTCTAATAACTCCCTACGTACTAGGTAAGTCAAGTGAGTGCTCCAGTCCTCCCCAAGTCCCATCTGGGGAAATCACAATAGACAGAGAGGGCCATCATGGCGTTCTCTTCCTGAAATATCACACATCACTTCCTTTAACCAAATTCAGTAGCTCTGAATCCATCGCTGCCACCACAATAGATTCAGCCACTGGTGCCTCAAGAGAGAGATGGGGGGGCGCTATTCATAGAGCATCGCTCGCTCGATCTGACGTGTCCTTTCATCTTCACTTTCCAACCGCCATCTGATTAGAGTGAGTCTAAAATTGGTCATTCACCCCCTTTTCCCGTTCCTTCTGCAACCGCTCCTCCGTCAGTTCCCACCACCAGGCGTGTGAAGCATCTCGACTGGAACGCGGCACCAGGCTTTTCCGGATTTCCTCAGGCTCATCCCAGGGCTTCGGGCTGAGGATGAAATGCACATTCTTGACCCGATCATCCCTCCAGATGGCATCGTGTACTCCATCCCATCGTAGGGTCTTCAACGCATTGTACACATATGGAAGGGCCACCCACCGGCCTAGAAACACGTCCGAGAGGAGAGATTGATCTGCAAATTCATAGTTCGATGTGACGGACGAAGCCAATTGAGCAACGATCTTATCATAGATGGCTTGGGACGGGTTGACCACCTGCAAGCCACCGTTGGGCATCCCCAGGCCGGTCGTGGGCGGTGCCCCCTCGATCTGGGCGGCTTCCGGGTTCGAGTGCTGGGAAGTAAAAGCACAGTTGGATGGGATCCTGGTCTCGTCAGTTCTTCATGTGTCTCAACAGCACCGCACATGGATGCATACCAATCCTGCGGGTAATGGGATTTTTGAAGCGGATTGCAAACACAGGCATGGCTGGCAGCGAAAACCCGGGGTCCTGTTCCTGCCAGAGCCGGGGGATCCAATTCAAGCTCCATCAGCTCATCCATGTTCTGGCGGACCAGCATGTCGCTGTCGAGCTGGACCACCCGCTCGTACTCGACGAGCGAAAAGGGAGTGAGCTTGCTCCAGCAATCGTAAAAGCGCACGTCATTGACATACTCCTTAGGGACTGAGGGCAGCAAATAGGGGACCCGTTGCTTCAGGATGCCGCGGGCATCGAGGGCGGCATGCCCCTCGTCCGGAAAGGAGTCTGTGTAGAGTACGACCAGGGGATACTTGGAGCCCACTTTGCGTAGAGAATACTCCAAGGTGAGCAATCCTGGAAGGTATGCCGTATTTGTAATGAGAGTGGTCCACACTGGAGGGGGAGGGGGGAATAGGGTTAGCTATCAAGTCCAAGTCTACTAGAAAAAGCCAAGTGATAGTAAGGGTTGCTGGGGTGGGAATGAAAAGCAGGTGAGAATGGAGATGCGAGCACCTTTAGTGGCATCGGTTATGCGGGGAAGGTCACTGTTGGTGGTCATGGCTGATTCTCTTCTCCGCGTTTCACGGGTAAGACGGGCAACGATTGAAGGGGCTGCGCTGGTTAGAAGAACGAGAGAATAAGCCGTCGCGGGAATAAGAAAGACCAAGGACAAAGAGTGGAAGAGGGTTAAGAAGGAGGAGGGAGAGAGGAAGAAGAGGAGGAGGAGGAGGAGGAGGAGGCAGAAGGGAAAAGAAGAAGTGATAAGAGAAGGAGAAGGCAACCGATGAAAGGCGCAATCGGCCTCTGCTTCTTCTTCTAATTAATATTAGTTATTGTACGGAGTACGGAGTACTGTATAGGAACAGTATTATTGATCGATCACCTTTTTGGGCTGCAGTCCATCCTTTCTTCTAACCGGGTTGGTGTTAGTGAACCACAGTTGACTGGCTCTCGAGTATCCATCATCTCTTGTCTGGTGTCTAGAATAGAACATCCTGTCCTAAAGTGAACAATGTTTATGCTTTATCCGATTGACATGTAGTCGAGTGTAGTGTAGTGTAGGTGTATGGTCAAGGAACCAAACTTCATAATGATTAACAAGGTTGGAATGTCTACAAGCAACCTGCCGAGGCGGTCAGTGTACTCCGTACTCCGTAGATTATCAGTAACTTATCCAACTACAACTACACTTAATTAACGACCACCTCTCTTCCCCCCCCCCCATTTCCACCTCGCTCTCTCTCTCTCGCTCTCTCTCTCTCGGCTTGGCCACCTTCTGCTTTGTCCTCCCGATTATCCCGCCTCTACTTCCTGCTCCCACTCGCCCTTTCCGTGGCGCAGGGTGGATTTCCTGTAGAGATCATCCATGCCGGAGCATGACCACGAGGCGCAGCCTCTAATACAGGATGGGCGGGACGAGGCAGGCTTGGATTCCTCGAGTCTTCCAACGCTTCAAACACAATCTGACCTGCTGTTGGAAGCACCCCGAAGCAGTTGGTATCTCTTCGTCCTGACCTTGGGCATGTCAGGGTGAGTTGGGGTGAGCTATTTGAGTCTACTATCAACTAGACGGGCTAATTGGTTCCTTCGTCGCATGCCTACCTAGTCTGCAGATTGTCTGGTCAGTGCAACACTCCAGTGGATCGGTAAGGGACACAGCGTTCTTCATCAATGGTTGTTTCGTTGCAACTGGCCCATGACTAATTCACATATAAGCCCTATCTTCTTTCTCTGGGAATGAGCAAAGCCATGCTCGCTTTTGTCTGGATTGCAGGGCCTTTGACCGGGACTATAGTGCAACCATACATCGGTGCACGAAGCGATAATTGTCGCGTTGCCTGGGGTAAACGAAAACCGTTCATGGCCCTAGGTGGAGCAGTCCTTGTCTTCTGTCTGCTGACTCTGGCCTGGGTACGGGAAATTGTCGGTGGTACGCTGAATCTGTTCGGCGTCGACGCGCAATCAGATGGAGTGCGAACCACAGTTCTTGTTGTTGCAACCCTGCTGATGTACTGTCAAGACTTTGCCATCAACACCAGTAAGGCAAACCCCACAGCTGTTTCCTGGCGCTTCAACTGACAAGCACACAGTTCAGGCTGCAACCCGAGCATTCATAGTCGACAATGCGCCGGCTCATCAACAGGAGTCCGCCAACGCCTGGGCTAGTCGTCACAACGGCGCTGGAAACATCCTCGGCTACATTCTAGGCGGCATGGATCTCCCCAAAACGTTCCCAGCCCTAGGCAACACTCAATTCAAAGGCCTTTCGGTCATCGCCAGCGTCTTCCTGGCCGTCACCCTGTCTCTCAGCTGTGCCTACATACAGGAAAAGGACCCGCGCTTCGAGCCCTTGACATCGACCCGGCCGGGCCTTCCGTCCTTGTTCCGCTCGATCATAGACTCCGTCCACGGCCTTTCCAGCCGGATCCGACGGATCTACCTGATCCAAGTCCCGGCGTGGTTCGCCTGGTTTTCCTTCCTCTTCTACGCAACCACCTATATCGGCCAGCTTTACGTCAACCCGATCCTCGACCAACACCCCGATCTGCCCGAAGAAGACGTGAACAAGATCTGGGAAGACGCAACCCGCATCGGGACGCTCGCGCTCCTCGTCAACGCCATCGTCTCGTTCGCAGCCAGCATCGTCCTGCCTCATCTCGTCGTCTCCTCAGAGCAGACATCTCGCTCATCCCACCACCATCAACAGCCACCCAATCCTCCTAGCACTCACAGCAGGAGCTGGAGCTGGAGCCGTCTACGTTCGCGGTTCCACATTCCCACCATCTCCGGCCTCACCCTCCGCCGCGCCTGGGTTCTTTCCCACTTTCTCTTCGCCCTCTGCATGTTCAGCACCTTCCTCATCTCCACCCCCGCCCAAGCATCCATCATGACCGGCATCATCGGGATCTCCTGGACCATCACCTCCTGGGCTCCGTGGGCTCTCCTGGCCACGGAGATTGCGCGGCACCAGCACGATGACAACGCACACGGTAGCCATCCAGCAGCACGTATGACCGATCCAGAATCAACGGCGGCGACGGCCCAGCGACCAGCGACACCCAGAAAGAGACCCGCCCCCAATCAAGCAGGCATTACCCTCGGCCTCCACAACGTCGCAATCTCCTTGCCACAGATCCTCTCCAGCGCCGTCAGCAGCCTGATTTTCCGCGCGTTACAGAAGCCCCGCGCCGAGCCGTGGGATACCTCCACCGGATGGGTCATGAGACTTGGAGGGTGTGCCGCTGTTCTAGCCGGCCTACTGACCGTTGGACTCGCGGAGAGCAAGGAAAATATATAATGATTTGGCTGGTGCGCTTGCGGACACAAGAAGCGTGAGACTGACATAATAGAAACTCCCAACAATAGGATAGATACAGGAGCAGTTCAACCACTAAAATCGTGTTCCATATAGTAACATGCAACCCCTTAAGCTAAGTCGGGGATAGACTCGAGGAAAGAAAAGGCAAAAAGAAGAAAAGAATCCGCTATGCTTCGTCACTCGTTGCGTTTCAGCGCACATGTTTAACACAACTTGAACGATACAGAACTATCGGATAGTATATGGGATCGGTAAGCTGGAAGTTTAGCGGTCTTTAATGACTCGCCTTGCGACTCTCATAATGACCGCGTAGGTCATCCACTTCCTTCTGTAATCGGGTGAGATCCGCCAAAATATCATTGGCGTTCGACGGATGCGGAACGTAGTCATCTTTCGCCGCGGCGACCGATGGTTTGCTTGACCGGAGGCTGAGGCGCACGCTGTCCGGACTGTGGTTGCCGGATCCGCGCGAGCGCCGCGGTGGCGGAGGCGGGGGGTTCTGAAGCGAAGCGCGCTTGACTGAGGGACTGGGCGAGGCGGCCCGCCCGGGCTCCCTGGGGATCCACGGGGTGGAGGAGGAATCAATCTGTAGTGAAAGTCGGTTCGAGGAGGACGAGGACGGCACTGACTCCTCGGATGGCGTGCTGGCCAGGCGGGGATCTCGTGTTCGGGTGGGGTACAAGGACCACGAGCTCGGACTCGGGGGCGGGATGGCCACAGAAGGAGGAGCAGCAGCAGCAGCTGCTGCTGCTGCTGCTGTAGGGTCTGCTTCTGGAGGTATTGAGAGTCGTACCGGATTCACTTTAGCGGATGTGGTTTTCGATCGCCGCATCTGACTGTGTCGGCGGCTCAATGGAGGGGTCGGAGGCCGCTTGGATTGCGACTGGCTCCGCCGAAGCACGTCGACTGGGGCTGACTGTGCGGAACGGCTTGTCTCCACGCCAGAGAAGTAGTCCGTCGCCGGTTGGGCTGGACAGTGTGAGTACGATGGCTCTGAGGGAGTGCCACGGAGGGAGAATCGGTTGGAGGATTGACCGGGAGTGGTCTGGGAGTGGGAAGATGTTGCGCCCGGACTAGGATTGATGAGCCGTCCGTGGTGACTTTTGGGTGGCGGAGGGGGCGGCATTCGGTCTCGATTTACGGCACGGCTGGCAAGCGGACGAGGACGAGATTCGGATGATGAAGGCGTTCCCAGCTCTACCCGGCCTGCTGACCGCAGGGATGATTGAGAGACATCGGCTGTAGTGCTGTCAGAAGTGCGGGTGTCTCCGGTCGAGGCGAGGGACACAGAAGAGCCCGTTCGTCCCACTGGGTAAGCATTCTCTTGCGATGATGCCACAGGCCCACGTTGCGTGTGATAGTCCTTGGTGCTGATTGTCTGCGTAACCGCAGCGGTTGGCTGCACGGGCGGTGACCTTGCCGATACCGAAGGGTGTGAATCTACGGCATCGACAATTGACCCGTCGGTATCTTGGTCGTCTTCAGGGTCATCATTTTCCTGGTCACTGGCGAAAGAAGGTTGGTGGAAAGGATCTGTATCGGATTGATCATCGGACGATGCGGAGTCGACGAGTTCGGGCGGATGCGTGGAGGTTGAGAAGCTGGGGAAGCTATTCGACCCCGGAAACGGTGAAGGTTCAGGCACGGAGACGCGAGATTCTGGACTGTAGGGAATTGAGGCTGTCTTGTTGGATTGGAGGGAGAAAGTAGGATCTAAGATGCGGTTGAGTCAGCAACAACAACCATCACTCAATCAATCTAGTCAATGGATAGAGATGTGCCTCGCCCAGGCTGCGATGAATGAATGCATGAAAGCAATCCGGAACCGTCGGGAAGAGACTCACTCGCGGGCTGCCTAGGGCGGAAAGGATTGGATCCAGACATCGCGGAGGAAGTGGAGAGCAGCACTGACCATGAGAGAGGGGAGGAATGGAAGGGAGAAAGTAAGAGCATAGAAAGTCTAGAAAGTCTAGAAGTATAGAGAGGTACTGAAGTCAGTGAGAGCGAGAATGAGGAGATGGGTAGTGGGAAGAGCTGAGTGGGGGGGGAAGAAGGGAAGGAAGATGAGAGCGTAAGGAAGAGGAAGTGAGCTCACGGACTCAGAGAAAGAGACAGACAACGAAGAATTCCCCGCGCGGCTTCCACAACCCATCAGCAAAAATAAACACTCGCCAGAATGCAAGTATTGTACTGTACCTTACTGTGTCACAGGTCTATGAGTAATTGTGTACTGTACACTATACGAGCTCAAACACTGGGTTGTGTCTTCTTTATTGTAAGTAGTAGGTTACCTAGTACAGCAGTTAAGTATCGTTAACTGTGATGCTCATTCTAACCCTTCCCAAAGGACCGTTTGAACCGGTTCCAACAATATCTGACAAATGAAATATGGTTATGAGTATGATAAAATCCAAAGGAGGTATATGTTACAATGAAGAGAATAAAGAGAAGAACAAAAGAAAAAAACATAAGCATGCAAAAGACCAACCACAAAAAGCCGAACATACCCCCTCCCAATAGAACACCGTCAGTTGTACAGTACAGGCAGAAAGTAGTAGTTGTTAATAAATGGTCATCATCACAGTATCGGCTTTCTTCAAGGTCAATGCCCGAGAAAGCAGGGTATCAACACGCCCGTGTATCAAGAAGACAAGTAAAGAAATAAAAATAGAGAGGTAATTTCCATCCAGGTGGCAGGCTGCCTGCCCCCCAGAGGTCACGGCCGTTGTTCAATCGAGGGATCATTGCTCGTCATACACGTGCCACTCGTCGTTCCCAAAGAAGGACTGCGCCAGACCTTTGCCACTCGCGGTCGGCTGGCTGAAGGCAATCTGTTCCTTAGAAATCTCCATGCCGTAGATGAAGTTGCTCACCACACAATCCAATAGATCCATAGCTATTCCCTTGCGACGTGAGGCTTCTGAAGTCCAAATCCGTGAGATACCCACAATAGCCGGGTGGTGTTCGTCGCGAACCGTGACCGAGGAGTCAGTGGTGCCTGGGGCGGGGACGGAAGATTTCTGTATCGGTCGAGATTCCCAAATCCGCTCGGTCAAACAGGCCCCCACGCAGCGACTATCCTTCATATGTAAGAAGACCTTGTAGCGATCAATCTTCTCCGTCGTGCCATTTTTGCGTAGATGAACCGGTGGCTCCGTCTGGCTCCATAAAATTTCGTCTTCGATGAGGGGGGAAGAAAGCTCCTTGCAAATGACCTCGAGCACCTTCTTGGCCTGATTCTTCGCCGTCGGAGATGCTTTGCGATCGACAATGACCACATATCCCTCGTCAAAGCGAGTGGCTTCATAAACCCAACGGGATGCATTTGCACGCATGAATGCCTTGCCTAGATCCACCCCAGTCGAGTTCATTTCGTGATATTTTTTGTGCGTAGCTGAGTCCTCTGCATTTGAGGGCACGTATTCCATACCACAGGTCGCACAGGTTCGCCGCACCTCACAGCCCACATCGATCTGCATCTGCTTCAAAGCGCTCGGTTGTTGCGATTGCAGTGTCGCTGGTGTTGACGTCGGGGTCGTCGATGTCGTCGGAGTCGCGGCGGCGGTCGTCTTCTTCTTTGGGGGATCCATCGAGGCACGCACACTATTAGAGTTGACCTCAGTTAGAGGCGTGCTGTTACCGGCAGCATCTTTGGTGGCAGTGTGCTTGCGTTTGAGGAAAGCAAAGGTCGGTTTCCGCGTATTGGCGGGCGGGGGGCTTAAACGTGGCGGGGGAGACGATGGGGGGGTCGACAGGTCATCATCCTGAGTTCCTTCGGAGAGCACGATTGAGTTGCGACGTGAAGGACTGGATAGTACGGCAGCGGACGATTCTCGGATGGCATATTGAATACTATTCTCTGCCTCGTCCGAGTCGGAGCCGGATAACGCGACGCGTCTTTTTTTGGCGGCGGGTCCCTGGTCATCGTCATAGACGCGCCACAGCGGACGCCCGTAAGTTTTCATCATGAGACCTCTGGAGGAGCGCGATCGCGTCAGTGAGGCAGACATTGGATTATTCAAAGAAGGGGAACTCACCGCTTGAATGAATTTGTCACAGTCCACGGCATCTCCCTGGATTAAGTCGAGCGACACACTCAAGCGAGGTAAATCATCTATGGCGTTTGTAAAGGAGGCAGGATCGCTTGTGTTGAAAGGGAGGGATAAAGCTAGAGATGGAAGGTAGAGGGTGGGGGAACAAGCTATAGGGAGAAAGATAGAGGGAGGGTGGGAGAGGGGGGGGGGGGGAAGATCTTTCAGACAAGAAGAGTAAGGAGAGAACAGTGAAGAATCGAGTATTTTGCGATGGCGAGAGCAGTGATGAAGAGAATATGAATCCCACTCAACAATCAAAAAAGTGAAAGTAGAGTAACCAGGAGAAGGGAAATAGGGAAATAAGGAATTTTTTTTCGAGGTTGGGTCAAGGGAAGTGGAGAGAGCAAGAGATAGAATAGATGATGGAAGCAGGCGGCGGCGGCGGCGGCGATGATGATGATGGAAATACCGTATGGCAATAATAATAATTATTCGGTGATCGACGGGAACGCGTGAGGCCACTAGTCCCCATTCGGTCATATTACTTCTAGAAGAGAAAAACGACTGGGCAGGACTGGGAATATGGGAATAAATTAACGCCTTTCCTCATTCCATCCATTCAGTGCTTTAATTGACTTATTCATTCATTCATCATTCATTCTCCATCAACCCACCCAAGTAGACTCGACAACGAAAGATCCAGACATGGTTGGAAATAAGCACTGCTTGGAATTATTCCCTCCAACATCGAATTGTATATCATCATCATCATCATCATCATCATCATCATTATCATCATCATCATTATCATCATCATCATCACCAGCATCCATGATAGTACACATGTACTCCCATACAGCATAACTGATCCCATTGGCACTCCCCCGGTGGCGTTGCTCAGGCTGCGTCAAAACGACGGCTATTCTTCCCCTGATTCGACCCAATCAAGCGCCAGCGTCTCCGACAGCAGGTGTTACAAGTGGAACAATAGGCCCCCGGGATCTGCCTTTTGTTCGCCTTACAACAGGCTGATGATTACCTTTCCGGAGTCTTCATAGGCAGGGCCAGCCTGCTTGCTGTTGCTGTTGCTGCTGCTGTTGCTGCTGTTGCTGCTGTTGTTGTCTCATCATCATCATTTTATTATTGTTATCATCATCATTTCTTCTTCTTCACCATGGTCGTCGTTGTCGCCACGCACCTCCTGTCTATCGGCAACAAACTACCGACTTGACACGGACCATCATCCCCCCCGAATTTCTCCCCCCTATTACTCCCATGATACTGGATCCTAAGTGCGACCACTATGAATAGTTAGGTGTCACTATGTAGACAGGCAAAGAGTCAATCAGAGTCAACCAAACCCCGTAAGATGTGACTCGTCCCAACCAAAGCTCCTGTGGGGTGACAGCTCCTTTCCCTTCTCAGCTCCCAAGTCATCGAGCCAGTGTCTTCTTGCTTGCCTCAGGAATTCTATTTATGCCCTCTGGAATTCTTCCGGGAAAGAATAGAATTCAGGAGGTACTGTCTCCATACTATGTAGAACAACCAGCCCAGTGCATGCATGCCTAAGAGACCATCCGTTCGGCCTCTTCTCGCTTTGCCAGCCGCGCCCTTGCTGGCTACCTACCTTTCTTGATTGTTCGGAGCAAGCTCGCGTACAGGCCAGGCCCCCCACCTGCTTTTGCCCACAGAGATAGCTAGGTATGTGACATGACCACATTCTTCTTTGCTGGGGAACAAACCTGCTGGGAAGGTAACCTTAGACCCCTTCGGATTCTGTTCACTGGATGCGGAGGGCGACACACCTGCACCGCACACATGGAATTGCCTTGGAAGAACGACATCAACAGCTGCAATCCAGGAACCTAGTCGGCAGTAGGAACGCTTTTCATTCATCCACAGCCTCCTCCCCAGCATTCCTCGCGGCTATGGGGTAGGGTAGGGTCTGGCGGGTGCTGGGAGCTTGTATTGGGACCGTCTCTGCACTTGGGTTTGGACTGCTACGCGGCATGATAAGGAGTCTCTACCCCGCCTGATCGGCATGGTCCTCAAGCCCAAGGTCCGTCCGTAAAAGCATCTACAGCAGATTGAGTGAGTAGATGGGGTCCGGGAGTCCGCAGCTGTGATGAACGGAAAACATGGAAGGATTCGACCGGAGCAGCTTGCGACCGGGGGGTCCGGATGAGACCCCAATGGGAAATCGGGCGAGGTGCGACCGGGACTGGGACCCGGAAGCCCTCGTCGGACATGAGATATCTGGCTTGACCACAGTATCAATTCGGTTTCCACTGGCTGACACCCGACTTTCTCGTGGGTTACACCTCGAATCATGATCACGTTACGAGGTTGCTCCCGCTGCACCGGGGCATGGACCAGGGCAGCCAGCCGGCTGTCACGCACCGGAGAATCCAGTAGAAAACTTGAGGCTTTCTCACGTCAGATCTGAAGGAAGCAATTTATGGGCAAGTTAACTGGTTAGCTGTGAAGTCTAGCACTTACTACATAGTAGGTATATAGTAAGTTAACTAGCATGGCATCAACCACACGTAGTCACATATTGTACCGTTACTCCGAACAGTGAGTTGACAAGAGATTGACCATGAATTGGTATGTACCTGAGGCCATCCGCTGCTATCGATAACAGATCATGTATATTCCGGTAGCACGCCATCCCGCCGACAGGACTAGGGACTGTACTCATAGATAACAACTGGAATCTGCAGAAAATCACCCACCACCGTAGTAGCTTGTTAAGGACTATCGGAGCATTCGGGATTTAAGCAATGGATCAAGCAGCAAAAGAACAGGCGGAGGGAGAATGTCTCCGATCATACTAGGTACGGTACTGCC